CCATATTGGGAACCACTGGACTAGAGGCCATGAAGACCAAACCAGCTGGTTAAATCAGGCTTTAATTGGATCTTCTTTTACATTATCTAATCACATCATCCTCTTCCCCAAGTATTTTGCTGAGGCTGTCTTTTTATTGTAGATGATTAATACACATAAGGACACAGCTAATGCAATTCACTCAAAGTGCTTAAAAGAACTTGTACTCTTTCTCGAATATGTTATCTTCTGTTATCTCTTTGTGAGGAAAGAGAGAAACTGAAATGTCCCAGAACGGGATTATCTACAAACTGTCCTGCAGGGAATGAGAAGAAAATTAAACAAGTCTATACAAAACACATCTTCATAATCCATCACTGATAAATTACAGAAATGTGAGGTCCCCTTAGGAGCACAACCGTCCGTGATCTTCCCTTTGTCTCTCTCTTCTGTTTCTGTGTGTGCATCTCTGTAATGACTGTGTAGGAGGATAAGAGAGGTTTCATGGGCAGGCTGCGCTTATACCTCCTTTTCATTGAGGGGGAGCCTTGACGAATGGCAGAGTTGTGCGGGGGCGACGTCGCTCCGGCTTGGCTCCCCTGCAGCCTGTCAGAAAGAGTTGTTAATGTGGTCTTTTTTGATGATGTCTGAGCACACTGGCATGGCCTGTTCTCCCAAAGATTTTTTGACTGTCAGAAACTAGGGCGAGGAATCCAAGGCAGGGATTTTTTCTTTTTCTTTTAAAGTTTCAGACAATACAGAGCACATAATGTATTTGCAAGGTCGGCAGTGACACTCTGTTGCAAAGTTTTCAGTCCTCCTCTCCGTGTCTTTGTGCTTTCTCTTTGTCCTCTTTCTCTCCATCTCACCCTCAATCTCTCTCACACACCCTTTCTGTGTGTGTTTGTGTTTCCTACAGAAGGGGGGATCTGATGTAAGCTTTAAAGTGGGGAACCTCGAGGAGCTTCAAGAGCAACTCAATCGCTGCAAGAAAGAACTGCAGCAGGCCCATGATGAGTAAGGACGTGTGTGTGGTTCTGCTTGTACAGTGTGTGCACTTAACAGCCAGCAATGAGCTTCCAGTTATTGCTCCTGTGGCTTTTTTGTCAGAGTATAATTTCACTGTTGCCTGATTGATGGGCTTGTTAATGAGTTTGGCGTTGCAATATTGATAATGTGTGTGTGTGTGTGTGTGGTGTGTGCATGCACGCAGACTGACCGAGGAGCGTATAGTCAGAGAGGGGGCAGAGTCTCGCCTGCGCCTACAGGAAGATCTGCTGGCTGAGCTTCAGGAGGAGCTGAGGAGGGTTTCAGAAAACTCACCTCACTCAGACACACTGCAGACGGTAAACACAAACGCACACATCCTTATACTTCTATAGTTATGAGGACCCTGATTGACATAATGCGTTTCCCTGGACCCTTTCTAATTCTACCCTAACCCTTAAAACCAAGTATTAACCTTCAAACAGCCCTTTGATGTTGTGAGGACCTGCCAAAATATCTTCGCTTTTCTTGGTTATCTTGTTCTGGTCCTCACTATGTAGGAAGCACACACACACACACATACACAGAATAAAACATTACACTGCACACATTGCACTTTTGCTTGTGTGCTTATCTGACTATCTTTGTCCGTGCTTCTGCAGGATGTGATAATGTTGCAGGCTGAGTTGGCTGAGGCTGCCATGTTACGTCAGCGCCAGGAAGAGATTCTACACCAGCGGGAACGGGAGCTGACAGCCCTGAAGGGGGCACTAAAGGAGGAGGTGGAGTGCCATGACAGAGAAATGGAGGATCTGAGGGAGCAGTACAGCCAGGACATGGAGAACCTGAGAAAGACCATGGAGGAGGTCACACAGGTGGATGGCATTATCATTTGAATTTTGTGCATATAGTCAATCACACAAAACATGTGAGTTCTGTTATCAGCTGCTTTATACATGCTTCTATATTCTTGACTCACATACTACATGTACAGTTACTTTGATGTAAGATGAGGGAGTAACCTGTTCAATGAAACGAAACAATGTTGGTTTAGTAACTCTGATGTCACTGAACCAATACGTGTGATTCAATAAGCTCAACAAAGAACAAACAAGACACTAATAAATACCAGTTAGCTACATCTCCATTTTATGTGTGTAACAAAATCTATTTCAGCATTTCTTTCTTAACTTTTACTACAAAGTTTTTGTGCTCCAGAAAGTCTTATAAACCATTTTTTCAGATCATTAATTGACCCAAAAGATTTCTGCACACTGTCAATAGGTGATCGACAGTGTGCTGGATGGGCTTTTTTCAGCTTTTATTTCTTTACAATTTTGGTGACTTAATATTTGTGTTAGTGTGCAACACATTTTCACGTTTTTTCATGTGATTATGCTTATAATATTGATTCAGCTACAGCAAAACCTGCAACGTAGGAATCATAATAAATATTTCTCTGTTTCTGATCACTGAAATAATTTTTTTTGTAACATTACAAACATTACATCTGCTAGTGCACTCCCAAACATTCAACTGCATTTGTTATTAAGATGATTGCATCCACAATATTATACATCCAGGCTTTTGGCTTGTTATTCTGTTTTATGTGTCAGCATGCAGTGAATGTTCAAAGGTAGCATAAGGTCAGGCTATGCCTAGAGCGCATACTTAGAAAAGATAATTTTGCTACTTGTGTTTGCAATGTAAAACTTTTCCAGTTGAATTTCCATTGTAAAGTTTCAGTTTCTGCCAGTTGACTATTTCTGGAGCGCTGTACTGTAGGATGTGGTGTAGAGGAAGTTTGAAGCATATACGTATTTACAGGAATAGATCATTATGCAGATTTTGGAAACTGTAACAGCGGTGTCAGGAAAAAAGTTACATGCAGCCAGAGAGAAGGAAATAAGCAGACAGGTTGGCAGCTGCTTTTGATGTGGTGATTTATTTGGCGAGAGGAGGATTAAAGTAGATCGCTGTTTGTGACGACTATAGCATGCTCTATCTTGTCTGATATTCTCCAGGTGTTATTTCTTATGTAGAAGTATTTTTTAGAGGCTGAACACATGCTGATGAAGGCATAAGCCCATCCCAATCTCAGTTTTTCTGTTCCCTTGTGCTGAACATTTGCTTGAAAAAAAACAAATTGAACTAAAAGAAAATGTGATAGATTTGGGTGTGTGAACTCCTTTTGAAACACGTCATAGTAATGAAAAGGATAATTGAATGTGAGGAATAAATCTGTTTTATACACTGACTCCCGTGACAAATTTTTTGTGTGTTTGTGTGGCTGTGTTTCAGTCCCAAGAGCAAATAGAAGAAGAGAGGGAAAGGGTGAATGCCTCCGTGCTTACCCTGGAGGAAGAACTGGAGAACTGCAGAGATCAGGGAGAGCAGTGGAAGACACAGCTGGAGACCACCACACAGGAGTTAGTGTCTATAAGTCATGTGTTTTTATGTAATTATGTTTTGTGAATTTTTGTATGGATGCTACTCGCATTAGAAGCCTCTCTAAATTGTATTAATTAATTGCGAGGTTGGAATACACACGCTGTGTCTTTTTCAGTGCCTAACTTCAAAGGATTAAAAAACAAAACAGCATAAGCATGAAGTAACGTTCAAAGACCGTGAATATGTGGGAAAAAACGATGTTTGTTTTAAAGACTTCATATTGAAGCTAATATTTCTAAGTTCACATGCTGAACCAAACTGACTATGAAGCTATACTATTACTTTGGACAAGACAAATATACACATCAGCAGTACTGTATCACTGGAAATGGGTTTATATTCACAGCTATGCTTTATTGCTTTGAACTTGCATCACCACACTCCATCCTTAATAAAGCATCATGCACACTCATATTTGATATTTTTCCGTTAGTGCTCACTAAAAACTGTAGTTCTCGGAAACTATAGTCCACTGTTTTTTTGGTTCAGACCTGCAATATTACATTATTTTTAATGCATGCACTCTTTCACTTGACTTTTCAATCGGCAGGAGCGGGGAGCACATCAGCAGTCGAATGTGAGAGAGAAAATCTATCTCACTGTGTTTGGTTTGTGTAGGTTTAGCCTAGTTTAAAATGAACATCATCTGATATTCACTTCAAATTCACTTGAAAAGCTCAAACATTAGATATCTATTTTGATCATTAGGTCAGTGAACCCCTTACTAACAACAGTAACAGTAAAAGTAGCAGTAGTAATACAGTGATAATAACCCCAATCATGTCAGTCATTCAAACCAATCAACATTCAGATATTGACGTAACTGATTTTGTTTTAATGAGGTCATCCCATCTCATTGCCTTTCCCGATTTAATTGCTAATAAACATAACTGATTAAATAAGTAAGTCCTGTATCTCTATTTAAGGTACAATGAAAGTCCTTATTGTCAAACAAAAGACACATTGTGGATGCAGTGATGTTTTATGGTTTAGTGCAGTAGTTTTACTCCCTTGTGATTTGTTTGTTGCTGCTATCTTTGGTTTGTGCACGTGTGCTTTTGGCCCTGCAGTGTGTGTGTGTGTGTGTGTGTAGTTTATAGAGCCACTGTTACCACTGTGAGTTCTTCAACATCTACTTTCTCTCCGCAGGCTAATGAAATCCCGTTTGGAGAAGGAAGAATTTGAGGGCAAGCTAAAGGATCTTCAGGATTCTCTGCTCACCATGAAGAAACAAATGCCTGCATCTGACGATAACCGTTCTTTAGCAGAGGTAATTCACACGTCAGTCACCAGACAGAACACCGATTAGGCTCGCTGTGTGGGTGGAATACCTTTACAGTATGTTATTTTTCTAAATCTGTCAGAACATTACAGCATCTAACAATAACACATTGTTATGTGCCCCTGCTCATTCCCTCTTACTCAAGCATGCATTATCCATCTCTGATTGTTTATCCTAAGGAGCTTCGCCGTTGCCATGATGATCTGAAGCGGGCTTGCACCGACCTGGACAAGCAGAAGTGCGAGTTAAACGAGAAGAAGGAGGCACTTCAAGCCCTGAAGAAAGCGAGTGGAGAGAAAGAGGCTGAGCTTCTGTCTGAGATCAGCAGGTTGAAGGAGCAGTCACAGAAAGACAAAGCCGAGCTGGAAAAGGCGCTCGAGAAGGCGAAGGAGGTGAAGCGTCATCTGGGATCTATAGAAAAAATATAGATAGAACAACTTAAGCACATTTGAAATTGATTTAATGTATAAAACAAACAGGGGATTAGAACTTTCATTTAGATGAATGTCACCATTTTAAAGGAACGTTTATAATATTGTATGCCCAGTCGCTAAATTCTGCATGTTTCTCTCTTGATCCACTCCTCTCGACAGTCATCAGCTGAGTCTTCGGGGAAGACTCTGGTGGACCACGGCACCAACCTGGAGCTCCAGGAAGCAAACACTCGTCTCAGAGAGAGGCTGGCCCGCATGGTAATGCAGAAAATAAACCCCCCAAAAAACGCACAGCTGTAGACACACATCCCTGCAAAATTGCATAAACAGACATACTGTACAAGAACAAAAGAAATGGCCTCCCACACAGATTCTATTTTCAGCTGAGAGATGGGAAGTAAATTATATCCAAAGAAAAACTCAAACACGTAAGATCAGAAAATAATCCCTCCAAGATAAATTTGCATAAGATGCGCATTGCGCTCCATGTACGTTCGAATAGCGATGTATTACAGCTGTTTTAAGTGCTATAATCTTGTTACTTTTGATGGGAAATAACCATGTGAAGAGCATAGGCATACACAAATAAGTGTAGGTGTAAAGTAAAATACAAATCAACATATGTCCAGGACACAGTGTAAAATTCTGGACTGGAGTTTGTATGCAGTGGCAGTGGAAGTTTATACTCTTTGTTCTAGTTGTACTTTAAATATGAAAAGACTTAGAGCACTTTATTATTTGCCACCCCCTCTATTTTACATACCAAACAGATATAACAATACAGAGGGCAAAGGCAAATTATGAAACACTGGAAAAATGCAAATGAGCAAATATTGCTCTCTTCTTAACACGGCCTCATACAATTCAAGACACATAAATAACCACTGTAAAGTGACTTTTACCTACAGCATGATGGTGAAAAAATGCAAATGAAGCCACACGCTGTAGGCCCATGTTCATCAGTGGATATTTTCTCATTCTCCAGACAAGGCTTCACTCCAGTGTGCCACGGAACTCGGAGGCCGAGGAGGCGTTGGAAGCTCTGGAAGATGAAAACCGCTCCCTGAAGTCTCAACTGGAGGAGGCCAAGAGAGGAACCACCCGCCTATGCAAGGAGAGGGACGAGCTGACTCGGCGGCTAGAGGAGAGAGATCTGGAGAGGGAAGCTCTGAGGAGGGGCAAGAGTGACTTGGAGGAGCAAAAGAGGCTGCTGGACCGAGCCCTGGAGAAGATTAACAAAGAGGTGTTTGTTAGGGTTAGAACAATGTCTTGGTTTGTTGATGTGGAGATATTTTCATTCCCCAAACATTTCTTTCTGTCTCCTCCCACCCTCAGATGGAGGCGATGATGGAAGATTCCCATCAGTCTGTGGTTGCCCTGCAAACACAACTAGACGACTACAGGGAGCGCTCGAGGAAGGACCTGCTGGAAGCTCAGCGCAACAGTAAGGATAGGCTGACAGAGCTGCAAAGGGCTCAGAGCAACCTCAAGACACAGCAGGAAGAGGTGAGGACGAATGGGTTGAAAAACTGAAAGGATAAGTGAAATTGCATGTGAAGAACGAAACCCAGAACCTCTGAAATATTATATATTGTGAAATACTAGACCATTCTAGCAAAAACTGAACTGTCAGACTGTTTTTCTTCCTTTGAAAGTATTTTTTAGCCATGCACTAGGGTTGACAATATTGGTCGGTTGGCCAGTGGGTCGGCCCACCACTTTGGTCCAGACTGAAATATCTCAACAACTATTGGATTAATAGCTATGGAATTATGTACATACATTCATGTTCCCCAGATTATGAATCCTAGTTCATTTTGTGACCCCTGACTTTTCATCTAGTACCATCATCTGGTCAAACTTGTCCAATACCTACCATACCTAGTAATAGGATGTGTTAAGACTTGTATGGAAATACATGTATGTAAATATATATGGGGAAAGAACATGCATGTCCAGCAAACTTTAAGTTAGGGTTGGGGGGATTTTGAAGACAGAATATGCATGAAAATGAAAAAGTCCATGCATTGTGGTCCCCTCCATGTTGTCTCCAGGTTTCCCGTTTGAAGAAGGAGCTGCTGGTGTGCAGCGAGGAGAGAGACAGCGCGCAGTTGGAGAGAGATCTCCTCAATAACCGTCTCAAACACTTAGAGAGTGAACTAGAATCAGAGAAGAGCACCTACACTGACCGCACCAGGGAGATCAGGGGCCTGGAGGTGAGGCTTCCAGGTCAAAGGTCATGAGCCGGGGAATCTAAAGATGGGTTGGAGTAAATCAGGGATACAGTGTTGTGTCACCAAATAGTTTTTAATGTTTAAGAGTAAACATGCTTTGGGAGTCAGGCATGTGAGGTTTAGATATCAAGTACCTTTGAGTACAAGAGGATTTAAAAGATAAGCTCAAAAAAAGAAATATGTTAGGGTATGTATTTATCTGTTTGTCTGTCCACAGGATAAAATTAAGACGTTGGAGATCGAACTAGATGAGGAGAGGAGCAGTATAGAGCTTCTCAACGACCGCATTACACGTAGCAGAGATCAGGTGCCACATAAAAAAATATTTTAATACACATGCAAATAAGCAGGAAGCATTTCTACGTAATGGTATATCTGATGACAGGGTTACTTAGACTGCCTCTTTGGTCCTTTCTCCTATCTCACTTTCTCCTCTCAGGTTGACCAGCTACGTTCAGAGCTAATGCAGGAGCGCTCAGCAAGACATGACCTGGAAATGGACAAGAGCGCACTCGAGAGACAGGTACTGTTCGTTCATCTAGCACCTTCACATGCACACTAATTCACACACACAACGTTAGAACTGCTTTTTCAGTAGTTTATTCACCTTCAATTTTTCATCATCCCCTCCCAGCTGAAGGAGTTGAAGAGTCGTGTGGTAGATATGGAGGGACAGACTCGGCCCTCGCCCGGAATCACCCTGCTGGAAAACAAAATTCAAGAGTTGGAGGAGAAAGTACACAGTGAAGAAAGGTATGGCTGAACACACACGGGGGGTCAAACAAGAAACAATTTCTCTATCTAAATATGATGTCCTGTGTGTTACCCAGCAAACAACCATCCATTAAAAAAACACCTGAAAAGGGGCGTTGGATGAGGTTTTAAGTACCATAACATACTGAATTAAATTAATTAAAAGTGTGTCAAATTGTTGGAGGGTTCTTGTATTGTGTGAATTCTGGATTTCTCCATACAGAGAGAAGGCCAGCATCCAGGCTTCTCAGCGACGAATGGAGAGGAAACTAAAGGAGCTAAATGCCACGTTAGACCAGGAGAGAAGCCAGCATGTTGAGCAAAGAGATCAGGTACATATCAAGATTTCTACAAATTATCTTTAGTGTTTTGCTATAGTGTTTGCTGGTTAAATACGGAATTCTGACGTTCAAACCGGATCTAACCAGTTAGTGGAATAGTTCGACATTTGTTTGCTCTCTTGCCTGGAGTTAGATAAGATTGATAACATTAGGTTACATTAATTTGACAGACGGACGCTTTTGTCAAAAGCAGCTAACAATAAGTGCATTGGGAGTGGATCCCTTTTAAACAAATAACTAAAATCATGTTCAGTGCTACAGTACAAGTGCTTACAGATGGATAGGAATGCTGCGTTCCAAACCACTCGGAACTGGGAAATTTCTGACCTCCAACTAGAAGAGGTACATGTTACGTTCAGTGGTGGTTATGGCAGAGTTGAGCAAGTTGGAGGACCCAAACGCAGGACACGTAGGCTAGCAGGTAAAGTTCAGATGGTTTATTCCAAGCAACAAAAAGCGAGCACACGTTCAAACTGAGTGGCTGATGACAAAGTCCAGAAACACAAAAGCTGTCCAAACAGAAATCCAACGGTACAGGGAAACACGACGAGTAGGCAGACAACGAGGGATCATAACGCACATAGAAAGTAATGACCCGACAAAGACAAGCCAGAAACACCAGGTATATATACACACAGGGAGTAACGAGCAAGGCGGGAGCAACACAGGTGACAGAGATCGGGGTTAGTGAGGGACAGGCAGGCAGGCAGAGAAAGGAGAGAGAGAAGGGGAAAACAAGGACAGACATGCAGAGGGATCACTGGGGTAACAGACAAGACAAGGTTACTGAATACTAGACAAGCAGACATTGGGCAGAGAGAATAACCAATAAGACAGAAACACACATGTACAATGAACAAGAACTCAAAAGGAGAATACAGAGCTAAAGTACCAAGGAGACTAGACCCAAAATAATGTAGACAAGGAACCTAAAGTAAATACTAAAACAAGAACCAAGGTGCAGGAAGAAGAACTAAGATGAGAGACAAGACTACCCTAAAACATGGAGATTATGGACTAAGACAGACCATAATGAGAAAATACAGAAGAACACTGATAAGGAAAACACTAAACATGAACTAAAGCACAGGACCAAGTACTAAAATGAGCGATAAGACAGTTACAAAGAAAACCTTAAAGCGAATGAGCCATAATAAACTAGACTACAAAACTCCAAACCCTGACAATATCAAATAAACACAGGAAAAATAACAGCACAAAACCAAATCCTAACAGTACAATGCAACACCACTACAGCTGGAGTTCCTACTTGTGAACTCAGAGCGAAAATAACTACCCGGACTTCCAGGAACAATGGAAGCACATATTGTAACGGGTAAACCATAAACCAAAAGGCGACATATAGTATATTTGCCTGTATTTAATCAGAATAATATCTATCATACTATCATATAGTAAACCTGTGTTATTACCAATATTACCAATGTCATTAAGTAGCCAGTTAAGGAAAAAAATAACTGAACGTCATTGTAGTTTTTCAGGAAAACATTAAAAAGGGGGAGAAAATGTTAAAAATATGCTGGGTCATATACTACATTTACTGAGTTTAGCACATTACCAGCTGATGTAGCCAGATGGGAACAAGTAACATATTTATGTCACTTGTTTTCATTGAAACTGCCATCTTTATCATTTACACCAAGGGCACTAGCTGTTTCCAGTTTTTGTGCTAAACTAAGATAACCGGGAGCTGATTCTAGCTACAAATTTACCATACAGAAGAGTGGTATCAATCTTCTCATCTAACATTAACTCTTGGCAAGAAACCAAATATGTGTATTTTACAAAAGATTATTTTAATATCAGAAGGGTGAAATTTTCTATTCCATTCTTAAGTTATCAGATGCTTTACTGTGGGTGTCTCAAGTTTCCTGACTCTGTGTGTAGTCATTTACCAGCTTGACACAGTTTTAATTATGTAGTAAGAATTATAGATGGATATTGTTTGACCTACTCCTGCTGTTTAATCATTAACACAGTTCAAACAGAGCTTAATTGCTTCTTTGACAAAAGGACTAATCTCATCTGTACTTCTCCTGACCCAAACCCAACCTCACTCGATCACCAGAACTCTCCCTGACCTCACTATCATCTTCTAGCTGCCTCAGCCTTTCTTTATGTAGCTGTAGCTGCTCCCCTACAAATCCACGCACCCGTCAGACCCTCTGCCTCTCCTGCTTGGTCCCCTCCGCTCCCTCAAGGCCCACATCTTCACCTGTGACCTCCTCTGTTCCCCCTCTAACCCCCTGCCTCTCCCTCTCTCCGTCCCCAGCTGTCTCTGCGTGTGAAGGCCTTGAAACGGCAAGTGGACGAGAGCGAGGGAGAGGTGGAGCGCTTGGAGGGTGTCCGCCGGAAGGTTCTCAGAGACTTGGAGGAGCAGCAGGAGCTACAGGAAGCACTGCATGCCAAAGTCACAGCCCTGGAGAGTGAACTCAAGTAAGACTGAAGTTAATGTCCCAACTCTATGAAATAATGTCACAAAAAATGTGTTAAATCCAACTTAAATTTGAGAATGTAACCACACAATGTAAGATGACGTCCTTAACTTTCAGTATTTGACAAGTAACCAAGTGTGTCTTCTTTACACTAGGTGGCACTCTCTAGTAATTAGCAGGGCCCATGCCTGTATTCACTGTGCTACAATGTATGAAAGTAGAAGAACTGAGTCAATGTTTTTGGATTTTCTGTTGTTTGCTATTTATCAGGCGGAAATCACAGCAGCCACATCGTACAGGTCTGGGCTCCTCCGCTTTGAGCTCCTCTGCTTTAAGCTCTGAGGATGAGGATGGTCTCTATGACTCCAACATCACCTCCATCCTGAACGAGAGCCAACTTCAGACCTCCAACTGCTAAAGGAAGATGGCGGCATAAATACAAACAAAAAATCTCCAGAGCAACGCTGCGCTACAAATCTGCCTTGCAGTTGTTCTTGGTTTTATTTTTAGTGCAGCAGTCCAACAGAGACAGGTTGTCAGGATAATTAGATTGCAATTTTTTTTTAGCCTTCAGCTGTGATTATGATTGCTTCAGTACTGTCATGTTTTATCTGTCTTGAAGTCTTCTGTTTTTCCGTTATGTTGAAGAGAAGAATTACACTTAGAAATACAAGGTTTAACTTCATGTACTTCATCTTTAATGTGAACTTTAACTGTAATGTTCACTTTGCTGCGTGTTGTGTTTGACTGTACTTACTGTACACTACTGTGGTAGCATAATACTGTGGCATGGTTTATTTCCAGAGGTCATACAGTAGACTTAAACCAAAAAATTACTTCCATATCTTTTAATTGTTCTTAATTATTTTAATCTGTGTTTGCTTGCGCATGATAATTTACATCTGTCAGTGTTGTTAGCAGCTCCAAGTGTTTCTTTGAAAGTGATGTGTGTTTTTTTTAAACCTTTGAATGTGACAATGATGGGTTGTTTAAACTGAGCCTATATTTTTACACTGTAATAGTTGTGCATACTCGTTCTCAAGACAATCAATTATACATACTGTAGCACTGTGTGTCCTCAGACATGAATATGCTCCCTATACAATTTTCTACTTTAACCACCATATTTCTAATGTAGATTAATATATTTCTGTGTTAAGCTTGAATCATGTGCATGTTTTCACTCAAATGCCTTAAACATTTGCTTTATATCTTTATTTTCACTTCATGTTGTCTCCGCATGTGTTCTGTTTATATGCTGCTGCAGTAATGATTTAAATAATATTTCACATGCTTGCACCTCCTGTACATTCCTGTTGAAAGAATGATTAGGTTAAATTTGGAAGCATTTCACCTTTCTCTTTGTTGCACCTGGCTGTTATGAATGTTGATTATAATCTCCAAATTACATTTTGATGGTGTACATTTGAGACATGTCACTTTTAAATGTGTATTTGGGTCTTTACAACAAAGGATGCTATTACATGTGGAATATGTTTATTAAGCTGCTTGTAACATTTGATATACGGAGCAGAGCTTTGTAAGCTTTGTCCTAATTTGACAGATATTTTAAGAAAATTTTTGACCATGTGTACAATAAAAAGAGATATACGTTTTACTCATGTTATTTTCTTTTTTGATCTCTCAATATTTGATACTGTACAATATACATGTTTTTAAACATGTATTAAATTAAAAGTATTTGAGACATTTTAAGTTTTTATTACAGACAGCAGAGAGATGCAACGAAGGGTCCCGGCTGGATTTGAACCAGGGAATTTGCAGTTAAAAGACAGATTAACAACTTTTTCAACTCTGTCTTTAATTATCCATGCGAACATGGAAACTGATTTTTCTTGCTGTAATCATTTCTCATGTTCATACTGGCCATGAAATAATCCCTTAGTAATGCACTTTCAATGTAAAGGTGATGAGGGACATCAAATGAGGGACGCAAACATGTACGTAGAAGTTTATCTGAAACTGAAATAAGTAAATGTAATTGCGCACAACTTATACTCTGAATGAAATCTACTAAAAAATGTATTGTGCTAGACTCAAATACTAATGGAAACTGACTCAACAAAGTTACTACTAGTAAACTTGAAATTTACAAAATGGCCATTTTCAGATAGTAGTCTTAAAAAATACGAATATGAAAAATACGAACACTACGAGTTACTAATACTAGTTGTCATGATCCTGTCTGTGTGTCTTGTTTGGGAGTCTGGGTTTTGGTTCTATATCTTTGTTCTTAGTCCTGGTCCTTAGTTCATGTTTTAGTATTCACTCCTAGTTCTTGTTTACATTATTTTGGTTTAGTCTCCTCTGTACTCTGTGTTCTAGTTCTGTGTTCTCGTTCAGGTTCTGGCACTTTGTAACTTGTGTGTTTTTGTCTTTGTTGGTTATTCATTTTGCCCCATGTCTGCCTGTCAACTGTTCTCTGTTTTCCCCTGCTCTCTCTCTGCCTGCCTGTGTCTCGTTAGCCTCATGTCTGTCACCTGTGTTGCTCCTGCCCTGCTCGTTAGTCCCTGTATATATAGCTGGTGTTTCTGTCTTGTCTTTGTTGGGTCATTGTATGGTGTTTGCAGTGTTCTTGTGTGGAGACGCTCTGTCGGGATATCTGCCTGAAACCTTGTCAACCTGTACCAGCCCTTGTGGATTCTTTTGGACTCAGCCACTGATAGTAAGTGTGCTCGCCTTTGGTTAATAAATCTTTGAACTATACCTGCCAGTTGTGTGTCCTGTGTTTGGGTCCTCCAACCTGCCTCTCCACACTCACTGCAACACTAGTAACACCATTACTACAATTCAAGTTCTCTTTATTAGTATCTTTCATTTCTACACTTAACTGACACAAAGGCACATCTTGCATAAAGCTGAACAGACTAACTGCTTGATTAGATAATTAACCAGCAACAATTTTAATCAATAGTTTTTCCATTTTTTTGCAATAATGTTAAACATTCTATTTCCAGATTCCATATTTTTTTGGTGTTAACTTGAATCTCTTGAGATAAATAAAATTTCCTTTTACTACTTACTCTACTGTGTTTTGTGGAAAAAGTGACTATGCATAACTTTATTTATATTGAAGTCCCACACTATGCAAATTGTCAGGTAGATGAGGTAATGGAACAATATCAAGGTTTCTGCAGGTTTTACCTGGTCAAATTTAAGACTATTATGAATGAAATTTAAAACCTATTTCATGATTTTAAAAAAGGAAATGCACAAATGCAGTCACAAAATTACTTGCAGGGTAAATCGCTGTATTCAAATTAGGGTTGAGTGATGTCTACAAAATTGGCATCAGACGATGTTAACGATGAAACACCGGGATGGACGATGACTAATAAGCTATGTAATTAGCAAGCTGGCATGCGGTGCACCTGCTGATGTCAAATGGATCACCGGTAGAAAAATCGTAAGGGGTCTAACCATTAGAGCTGTGAAAATAAATTTGGTTGGTTTTGATGCTCTCCACAATGGTTTTATTTATTGCACAACACTAAGAAGTTTTGAGCCTCACTGCCTAATAATGGCCGGAAAACACTGTTAACATGACCTCAGAATCAATACAGATAGGACTGTTCCTGTTTGTCTTAATTTACTGCTTTATACATTTGTAGAAATTGACAAATGGGCATCATGAGAACCAACTCCCTTCTGTATAACTACAAGGATTTCATTTGTACATCAAAATCCAAAAGAATAATTGGGTTTGCATCCCTGATTTGCTTTAACATTAACCTCAGCTCCTCCGTGGTCAACACTGTTTTTATTTGTTTTTTTTAACTATCAAGATGTACAACCTGCAACTTGATTTTGATCTTTTCCTCTGCTAACTTTCACCTTCATTTTCAGCTGCTCCCCATTTTCGCTCTTCCTTTGAAGAACGAGGAGAGGGAGACAGCTCAGTAGGTTTCAGATACGTTGCTAGAGTGGTTTTAAGCCCTAAGATCTATTTTTCCATCCAAGAACCAATAAGGTTGCACTCTGGTACAATCCGAAAGACTTGCGGCAATAACATGAAAGCTGCCTGTTGGTCTTTGTAGTCGTAATACAGCAAATTATATTTGGACTACCGACTAGAACTACAATACCACGGGAGGAAAAAATATTCTTGAGCGCTGCTTGGGCATTTCAATTAGCCTTAGAGGTAGTGTTACATGTACGTTGGAAAATAAATACCCATTTAAAATTTTAAGACCTAGAACTTCAGCAAATTTAAGGCCTTAAATTTTGAAATTTCAGACTTTTTAAGACCCTGCAGGACATCTGACTGTTATCAGAGCAGCTCCTTCTCTGTGTTTGTCCGAGTGACAAAGTGACGGTGAATCTCAGAGGAAAATAATCTGGCAGTAAAAGTATGGTGTCGGTGTCTCTGCTAATAAATTCTTCAGCTTCTCCAGACCAACAAGTCTGTTGTTCCCAAATGGCTGGAGAAGTGAAGCATCTCCCATTCAGACTGGAAGCTGAGCAGGAAGCTAACAGAACGTCTTTTAGTTCAACTTATAGAAAGTAACAAGCAGCTGTATTTTCAGCCTACCTGTCCAGCTGAGAAGATGTGTTCAGCTCTGTCCTGAACAGACTGAACATCCATAGGGTACCATATTTGGGTCACACTTGTCAATCACAAAGTAGCCCCGCCCTAAAGCCTCCCCTGCTTTCTGGTCTATTTTCCTCTAAATGGGACCATAATTTACTAAATCAACATCATGCTGCGTTGAAGACTTGAAACTAGTGACTGAGACCATATACGATCCAGTGGAGTCGCTCCCTGCTGGCTTAGAGAGAATGCAGGTTTGAGGATTCACTTTTCAAACCTGGAGGTTCCTGCTTGGTGAAGACAAAGCTGCTTCGTGGTTGCACAAATCAGACATCAAATTTCCGTGTGGTTTCGAGACGTACCAAAGAACGAGACGCAGATTCAGGTTGTCCTCACACAGGAGCAGGTGGAGGTGTGGGTACGTACTGAGGGACTGCAGGAGGCGGTCTCCTCCTCGTTGAGCGGAAGCGAGGAGGGATGAGCCTTACAGCAGGACTTGGGAGGGTTGGTCTGGAAGTCTTTGTACACCTGCAGGAGGAGGAAGTGATATCAGCCGCCACAGTGATGTCACCAGTCAGTGTGTGTGCGTGCGCATGCCTCATCTTGTGGACCTCGTCACAGCTGGCCTGAACGTGCTGCAGAGGTCTGAGTGAAGAATGGCAGAGACGGACACAATCAGTCAGCTATCAGTTATCAATACCTCCTGAAGCAATCAGTAAGCCTGTGTGTGTACTGACAGCTTTTCTGGGTGTTGCTTAGGCTCAGGTTGTCCATGAGCTCCAGGATCTGTTCCAGGGTGAGCTGAGCCAGTTTACTGCTGGAACTGTGAAGACTGAGACACAACCGTTGTTCAACAGGTACCCAGAGACCGTCCTCAACTTTGAGTTCTCACCTCTGTCCTCATCCATCTGTTCTGTCTGTCCTCACCTCTCTCACGGGGCTGGTTGTTCTTGATCAGCTGGGCCTTGATGTATTCTCCCAGCGCGTTGTCATTGGACGCCCAGTGTCTCAGGATGTTGGTTGTGAACTGGTCCTCGGGGGTGACGGGGACGACTCAGGACCATCTTCACCATCTCTTCACTGGGCCTGGGACACACAGATGTTAATGGGGACCCAGGAGTCTCTAAGACGAGTGTCCAGGTGTGAACCTGTCATACTCTGCGGAGAAGCAGTCGTACCTGTCGTACTCTGCGGAGAAGCAGCAGACACGACAAGGCATCCAGGTGTTCTGAGAACACAAAGACAAAGGAGTCAGAGGACTGATCAGACTGGAGGACAGGGACCCTTTCCTGGACACCACTCACCTTTATATTTAAGGTGCTGCAGGATGGGGATGAAGGTCTCTAGGGGGGTGCCAGTAGCCAGGAAGAGCTGCCAGGTGCTGTACTACTCAAGGTCTCCCAGACCAGAGACTAAACTGTGGACACACGAAGAAGCCGCCATGAGGACAGGTGGACACAGGTGGAAGATTCAAAGACAGGTGTCCTCTGTGCTCAACATCCTCAGTGAGACTCTCTCAGTCCTTCCTGAACATCACCAGGCTCCCCATCATCATGTGACACATCAGTTCCTACAGCTACAACACAGACCTGCTTACTTAACACAACCAGGCTCAGAACCAGACTAAAGGTTCTGCAGAGGTGAGTCCTGATCAGCTGTTACCTGTGTGGAGTCTGACATCTACGATCATGTTGAGTAGCTCACCGCTCCGCAGCGTCTCATCTGGGAACTGAACAGAGACAGAAACATTCAGATCTGGATCTGATTCCATATAAAACATAACCTACTGCTTATGGAGAAACACAGAGGAGCAGACAGGGAGAGAGGCAGGGAAAGCTGGTGTGTTTGCAGGGAGAGACTAGAGGTAAAGGGGTGTGTGTGTGTGTGTGTGAGAGAGAGTGAGTGCAGGGAGAAGTCGAAGCAGGTACAGAAATCATAAAAATGTCCGTGGCGATTAAAACATGCTTTCGCAGTGTGCAAAATGTGGAAGGAAAAAAAAAAAAAGAAAATCCAATAGAGAAATATGCAATTCCACATAATTTTGGAACATTGTTATTACCACATCTGTGAACAACAAGTAGAGTAACATTTTGAATAAACTACACCCAAAAGCTACACTTGCTTAATAAGTCTACATACAGTAACGAGCATACTTATTGGTTGTGGAGCAGTGGATAAGACACATGCCTTTGGTGTGAGAGACCGGCGTTTGATTTTCACTGTGACACATCCATCAATGTGTCCCTGAGCAAGACACGTATCCACTAGTTTGGAATACAGTTAGCTCCAAACTACTGTAACGTTAGTTGATGACAACTTCGCTCGTTACTGTAAGTACGATGCAATAAAACCTTCGCCAGTAATAATAATCTTAATAAGTAGAAGAGACTTACCACAGTCCGATTAAGGGACGTTTGATATGCTTGGCGCCAAATAATGCTGAAACGTGAAGGGGGCGTGGCCTGAGCGAGGGCGCCACTGGAGGAGCTTGACGTCGCCATTGGATGTAGGCTGAATTCAGTAGACGAAACTTAGCAAAACATATTTTTAAACGGAAACGGTGGTGCCTTGAACACACTTGTGTATGTAAGCGCGCTGATTTGTACTGCATTTTTAACCACAGCAGTGTTTGCAAATGTGTTGCAGCTGATTGGTAACTCCTGTGACCCTAACTAGTTTCGAGTTCCAGAGATCCCAGCTTTCTTTGCAGCGCTGTGAAAGTGTTTTTTTGTTTTTGTTTTTTTTCTGTTCTGTGACTTTTATTGTATAACGTTAACCGTAACGTTACACTGGGATGACCGGAGGCAGTATGTGGAGTCAGTTTGCCGCATTCCTGTTATGCTAACGTTAGCAACCGTTAGCTAACGTAAGCTTAAGTAATGTATCACCAGTGGCTGAAAGTTTTCCAGACAGTTGTCATCTGATCGATTTTTCATCTGGGGCTGCTCCTTGTTACGCGAGCTTTGGTCTGGTAAGCGAAAAAGTTCTGTTTTCGGTGCAGTAATATCAACAGAAAAGCTAACGTTAAGTTACTTGAAGTTAGCTGGCTAAGAACACATTGAGGTAACGTTAAATTTCACTTTGCACTGAACTGTTAGTTAATGTTACTTTAGTCCTATATCGTTACTGTGGAGACAGTGAAGCTCTGCCTTCATGTAAGTTAACAAGCTGTTTCTGAATGTAGTGTTTGTAGTAGGATGTAACGTTACACTTGCTCAAAAAGTAAAAACATTCATAATGTGAAAAATCATAGCCTAGTTTCACTGATATACGGTAAATATGAAATGAAAACCCCTCCAGTTGGGAGATTTTCAAGTCAGATCAGTTGGAACGGTGTAATTATGTTTTAATACGTATTTAATAATAATAAGTATTTAATATATTTATATTTAACTTACATCTGTTGTAATCTGTTTTTAATATATCTGTCCTCTCAAGTGAACCTGAGCGCTTAGTTTCCTCGAGCTTCAAAGACATTTCGTTAAGATGTATCCTGAAATAGTATTGATGCATGGCTGAATGTTTCATTTTATCAGCAGTGAACCTAATAAACCCCTCAGCCCTTCAATTGCAGACACAAGTTGCCTCATCTGAAGTGGCTGTATATGTATTTGGAAAGGAAAATTTTTCCACTGTGGTAATGAAAGTTGGTGAGGAATGTTCAGTTTTATTTAAATTTAATATTATTTGTTCATTTTAGCTGATGTAGTTTGTGGTCCGGTTGAACTGTATTGCGTCATCTGTTTATAACGCAATACAGTTCACTTTTATTTAGCATGGCCTCACTGATATAAATGGGATAGACAAAATATCAGAAACACTGGTCCATGTGATCCAAAATGATCATACAGTTGCAACAAAAACTGAACATCGTTATTATGACGGGAGAATTAATTGCAGAAATGTTGGATTAGACTGCATTAAATTTAGCTAGATGTACCAAATAAACTGCTAACTGAGTCTTAAAGACTAAATACATTTATCACAACAATAAACTCTGCCCATATCACGTGTTTGTGAGAAGTGTTTACATGGTCTTTTTTTGTAAATTAATCAGAAGTTGGTTCATATATTGTGTGCCCATTAAGGACTCTAGAGAGTGCTGCTGAAGGAGTTTCATCTTACCCATAATCACCTGACTTGCGAAAGCAGCTCTGATATTGGTGAGTCAGATAAATGATAAAATATTGTATATATTTTTTTAAGAAAATCAGCATTTGTTGATGGTTTTGCTGACAGGGCTACTGGGAAATCTTTATATTGTTTGTTATATTTGCTCTCGCAGGATCAGAGTATTGAGTGGCACTACAGCTATCCAAGGTATGTTAACAATTTGCATATTTCTGCATCAATTGCTGGCTTACTAATCAGACATACTGAGGATTAATAAAAAAAAAAAAATACTACATTGCTAGAACTGGAGCCAACAACATTTCGCATTGGATGACATTTTAACATGAAAGAAGATATTCTAGCCCTGACTTGAGAAGTAGGGGGATATTGTATTGTTTTAGAAAAGTGCATAAATCCAGCTGTCTGAGTTTTTATAATGAATATGTATATTTAGCAATTTAAAATTCTCATACTTTTTTTATTTTTTATTATTATTTTTTTTATAACATTTCAGAAATGATTGGCAGTGATCAAAGCCAAGAAAAACCAAGTTAGATTAAAGAAATTTGCAAGATGACCCTGCATTTTCTTTTCTTGTCACTGCAGTGGTCCATGTCCATTTCTCAGGTAAAAACTATATTCTTTTTGCCATATAGTCAGCCATCCTGCTTAAAACAAGTAATTGATGCATTATGTTTTTCTGTCAAGGCCCAAGTTGGAAACCCTTAATCTGCATACATTTATGTGTTTGCAGGTGTTTGCTGAGTTCCTCGCTTTACAAATGTTGAACCTATGCAACCAATTCTACTGCGAGCTTGAGAGATGCACACCAAAACTGATTGCCCTGTACATGCAGACGGCCAAGAGAGCAGAGGCCCTGCAGAGATCCTCAGGATTTGTGACCTTCAGGTGAGTTTAAGATTATGACAATGTTGATCACATCAGTCAATAAAGATTGGGACCTCAGCACTATAATAGTGAAATTGGATTATGATATTGTCTTGTGATGACTAGGAGGATAGAGCCATCTACTTTCAATTGTCATTTCTCATTTGCATTTATTTTAAGTTTTCCAGTACTCGATCACTTTAAAAGCCATTTACAAGCTTATTTTTAAATTCTTGCGCTGCCCTGAACACACAAGACAGAAAATCCTCAATTTCGTTCAGATTTTATGTGCTGAGCATGACTTTTTATTTTTCTATCTGTCCTCCATCCATGATCGGTCGCCATATGGTCTACTGACAGTTGCAGAGACACAGAGAGAGATGTACTACAGGCCTTCTCCACAAGCAGCTCACCTGCAGTTGTTACCACAGAAACATGGATAAAAAAGTTCAAAACGCGAGCTGTGTTTTTTGGGCAATAAAACATATGGCTGACAATGAAAGCGGACAGATAGCAGCCTGTTTGTGTCCGTTTGCTGTATGATACAGCAAGAAAGAAACTGAAAAGGGCGGTGTAAGCTGGTGTCTTTGTGCAGCGTTGTGAGGGACAGAACTTCAGGTGCTTGTGCAAATCTCCACATCCCAAAATTGAAAACTGAATACCAATATTCGGGTCCAGCCCTACTGCACTGGCTTCCAAATTTCTTCTTGTATCATGTGTAAGGTTATAGTTGGCCTCTATTTCTCACCCATTGTTTGAGTCACTGTGTTTGTTTAAATTTGACTCTGATGTCTTTTAGTAGTTGCAGCTGGATGGATTTCTCAGGCAAACAAGCGCTCCGCGAGGTAACCACAGCAACAGCTTCTGTGTAACTGGCGCGATTACGTGAAACTGTCGTGGTCGTTCTCGTCTCACACACGCGCCCGCCCGCTGCCAGAGTTGAAATGTGAAAACTTTCTCCTACAGTTTATCAATAGACAGAGACTGATCTGACTGTTTGATCTGAGTTTCCTGAATAATATAACTGTTTCTTTAACAGTTAGGCCACCAGGTCTTAAACAGGCAGCGACCTTTGCTGTTGTCTCTTATTCATTAAAAATAATCTCTTCACTTCTACTGAACTAATTTGAAAATTAGTAGTTATATTATTTAGTTATAGAATCAGTTATTTCATGTTGCATGTTGCACATTTAACTGTTGAAGCTTGGTAAAAAATTAATACAAAATAATTATTATAGAGAGGTGGCGATGTCGCAGTGGATTAGACACTTGTCTTTGATTCCCACTGCAACACATCCACCAAATAAGTTGTTGTTGTCATAGGTCCTGCTTTACCATCCATGTTATAATACAGCCGCCGCCAGTATTATCGGGGTGTGGGGGTGTCTCAGTATGTTTTCCTGCTTTTTTGCCCTTTGCCAATCACATGCCTGATGGTGCATGGATCTCAAAATCTAAATTCCACATATGAGGATACATGATTTTAGGAGGCTCAGTTTAGTTGAAACTGAATGAGGCATAAGCAGTCTAGTTAAAAAATTAAATGGATATTGTTGTTACGTCATTGTGTAGATTCACTGTTGGAAGGAAGTATCCCACTGCTGCAGCTCAGCAAGTAAACACACAAAGACTAACTTCTAAAAATACTTACGATATGTTTTGTGGCTTGTCTAAGTCAGACTGCTGAAGTAACTGTTTCTAATGAACTTTAGAATTTTGTCCTCATTCTCTTACAGTTGAGTCAGATTAAGAAAGCCTTATAGAGTCAGAAGGAATCATAACAACCAGCAGTAACTCTTAACATTTTGGCATGTGAAGACGCAAGACAGGCTTGGAAAAAATAAAAAATATTCTTTTAAGTGTGTGGGGGGGCACCGATGAGCATGCAGTGCTAGCTTTCTTTTCTAATTATCCTCATAATTGGATTGTTTGTATTTTGCTGTGCGAAGATTAACCAGACGTTGCTGTCACTCCTCACTGTGGACACTGACACTCCTGGTGCAGTCCGCTTCAGCCCAAGTGAAAGGTGGCTGTGGATGTATGTCTGTTTCTCTGGGTATGGTGATGGAACAGTGGATAAGACACATGCCTTTTGTGTGAGAGACCCGGGTTTAATTCCCCATTGCGACACATCCACCAATGCGTCCCTGAGCAGGACACTTAACCCCTAGTTGCTCCAGAGGTGTTTGACCTCTGACATAAATAGCTATTATGTACATATACATATATAGCTAGCTGAAGTGTCAGCTAAATGTTGATGTAACTCATGTATAAACTCCTGAAAGCACTTCTGAACTGGCCGTTCAGGCCAGCTGTGACGAGGTCCCCAAGATGAGGTACGTACGTACGCACGCATGCACTCACACACACTGATGGGTGACATCACTGCAGCGGCTGATGAAATCACTTCTTCCTCCTGCAGGTTCAGCGACCTGTTTGCCCTGGCAGAGGAGTCCGAGGACTCCCAGACCAAGCCTCCCAAGTCCCGCCGTAAGGCTCCGGCCTCCTCGCCTCGCTCCCGGAAAGGAGCGGCTCTGCCCACCAACAACAAGGAGGAGAGCGCCTCCAGCAGCACCTCGGTACGTAGCCCCACCTCCAACTACTCCTCTGTGTGAGGACAACCTGAATCTGCATTTTGTTCTTTGATAGGTCCGTTTCAAAACTACAATGGAAAATTTGATATTTAATGTCTGATTTGTGAAACCAGGAAGTAGATTTGTGTCTTCACCAAGCAGAACCTCCAGGTTTGAAAAGTGATGCCTCAAACCTGCATTCTCTCTAACAGCCAGCAGGGAGCGACTCCACTGGATTGAATAGAAGTCTGAGAAACTGTAGCTACTTCTCAGCTGATGTATTACCTCAGTAAACACTTTCCTGATGAGTCTCAGTCGCTAGTTTCAAGTCTTCTTCAACACAGCATGATGGTGATTTAGTAAACTATGGTCCCATTTAGGGGAAAATAGACCAGAAAGCAAGGGAGGCTTTAGGGCGGGGCTACCCTGTGATTGTCAAGTTGCTATGTGTGACCTAAATATGGTACCCCATGGATGTTCACTTTTCTTTCAGCTGGACAGGTAGGCTGGAATAAAATGCCCCCGCAGCACTCAAGAATGTGTTTTCCTTCCGTGGTATTGTAGTTCTAGTCACTAGTCCAAATCAGTCCAAATATAATTCGATGTATTACGACTACGAAGACCAACAGGCAGCTTTAATGTTATTGCTGCAAGTCTCTTTCGGATTGTACCACAGATATAAAACGGATTTATTCTTCAACTATTGGGAAGTGCCACCTTATCAGTTCTTGAAACCTACTGTTGCTGCTTAGAGATGAGCACCGCTATTAAAATTTCACACGATCGTTATCATCGCTGTCTCCCTCTCCTCATGTCGTCGTCCATCCCGGTGTTTCATTGTTGACATCGTCTGATTCCAATTTTGTAGACATCATTCAACCCTAATTTGAATACATTTTGTGACTGCATTTCCTTTGTGCGTTTCTGTTTTTTGGGTCGTGATATAGGTCTTAAATTTCATTCATAATGGTTTGACCAGGTGAAACCTGCAGAAACCTTGATATTGTTCTATTACCTCGTCTACCTGACTTAAAAATTTGCATAGTGTGGGAATTTATCTACAATCTTTATTAGCTATCTTTATTTGCTTATGATAAAACTCCACATTTAAAGCTCCCTTTTATATTATTTAAGTGTTGCTGATGGAATAAAAGTATGCATAGTCACTTTTTCCACAAAACACAGTAAAGTAGTAAAAGGAAATTTTATTTAGCTCAAAGGACTTTGCTCAAGAGATTCACTTAATACCAAGAAATCTCATTAATCTTGAAATAGAGAATGTTCAACATTCTTGCAAAAAAGAATGAAAACAAATTGATTATCAAAATTGTTACTGGTTAGTTATCTGATCAAGCAATCAATTACTATTATTATTCTATTCAGCTTTATGCAAGATGTGCCTTATTTTGTGTCTGTTAAATGTAGAAATGACAGATGTTTAAGGTTTTGATACTAATAAAGAGAACTTGAATAATAATTGAGTTGTATTCATATTTTTGAGGACTACTATATGACTAGTAGTAATTTTGTTGAGTGAGTTTCCATTAATATTTGAGTCTAGCACAATACACTTTTTTGAGTAGATTTCCCTCAGAGTAAAAGTTGTGCACAGTTACATTTATTGAGTAAAGAATTAGTGGAATTTAATTTTAATAAGCATCAGTGAATCATTGTAATTTAGTATGTAATTTTTTATTTTTTTATTTTATATTTAAGTTGAGGTTTACTCAAATATTATTACCATTACTTAAAAAGTTTCCACAAATATTTTGAGTATCCTGAACTTATTTGGGTTTACAGTGTGCAGCACACCAGTTTCGATGATGCAGTGATTTATTAAGGATGGTAGCCGCATGAACCATTTTATCCTAGGGGTGCGACCATTGCATCATAACTGCCTGCCTTGTGTACGGGTCTCTGAGGGAGTTGTGTCAGCGGGCCTGAACCCGGTATCAATAAGTCTCATCTCCACTAAACCTGCACTGACTGCATCACTTCCACCACTGTGTCCAAACCATATTTTAGATTTAAAATGCCCACCAATATAGTGTTCCTCATAACAAGATAAATATAAAACTATATACATCTATGTATGAAAGACTAAAATGCTCCCACAGTTGAATAAGTAAGTTTATAAGCAGATTGATATGAACTAACAGCATGGAGGGCTAATCCATGATTAGGGGAATCAGTAACTGGATAATCTTACAGCAGAAGCTGTTAGGGAAACAAGATGTTTTGACTTGCTTTTGTTGTTCCAAGAGCTACCAGGTGCTGCAGGATCTAATGGAGACACAGCATCTTATACATCACATTGCATCACATATTAACAGAGTTGGAAAAGTGAAAATGTAGAATTTTCACTTATACAGAGGCAAAGGCAACATGTCTGCACATGTTGCATCTGGATGTTGGATTTCAAAGGCACAGGGACTGACAGCATACCTCAAACATATACTTTGCATTTACAGCATCAATAAAACTGAGGTACACCTTAAGAGGGATACAGAGAATACAAGATCAAGGCCTGCTGCGGTCCTGCTGTTCTGTCTATGCTGCAGGTTTCATATCTCTTCCTCTTACCACTGCTAACACATTCAGCCGGCCTCATGGTTTACTGTCAAAGGGAATTTCATACTGTGGATTGTCGGGCAGCTAAGTGTCATGGGTCATTCGCAGTACTATCAGGAAACAAACAATGCAATTGTAACTGTAGCAAATGTAAAATTGTGTCATACTGTGTATTTTACATGTAGCCTGTAAAGTGAATACTGAATTTTTAGTGTCACTTTCCCCCTAAGTGTTAATCTCATAGCCCTGTTGGTGGTTCATTATAGTCAATTGTTAGCATTCTGAGCAGGAGAATTAGAAAATTACAGGAAGTATAGTGTTAACCAGTCACAAACTGACACAGACATTGCTGCCTATAAGAGAGGGAATGTGTTAAGTAATATGTCACAAACTGTAGGGTTTTATTATTACATATTCAGTAATCAGTGATAGTCAAATTGTCCCCCGAACACGGTTCTGTTGTTCTGTTTTCTTTCTTTTAGTGTATCACTAACAAGTCATTTGCATGTTCTTTTAGTTCTGGCTGAGTTCCCCCCTTCAGAGACACAGAGTCTGTAATCCTTAGTTGGTTTACTGTAATTACTGAAGACATCAAGCTGTAATCATGCCTCCACCTTATCCAGCCTCCCTGTCGTTCCCCTTAGCTCATCTACTCTTCTGTCTTCCCATGGCTGGGACTTTGCTTTAAGTTTCTAAACTACAAATAACTACAACTACAGCCATGAATATGTTTTTCCTCCATCAGTCAGATGGAGGACATCATACAATTAGCATGGACTCAATGTATTATTGGTACGAAAATACATTGATATGTGAGAAAGTGAGCAGCGGCTTTTACAACTTGGTTATTGGCACTTTTCATGCTGCTGAAATACATTGACAATGCCCTCATGGTTTTCTAACATGTAGACAAATAAGCTAAAGTCTGCATGTTAGCTCAGTACCAAACACACAGAATATACACTATTAATCAAAACCAGTTCTTGTTTATTTTGAGCTGGGCTTTTCAAAATGAGCTGCCTTTTGAATTTGTGTAATTCTTTCTGTTTTCTGTTTTCAGTGATGTGTATAAAGGGAGTACTTTTATTTGGGTGTCATGGAACAAATAACTCTTAAGATAATGTAAGTTATGTCTTAAACCAAGATTCAAAACATAATGCGATGTCAAACAGCGGAAGAACATTGTAGTAAAATAATATAGTAGGCTTGCATGGTTTAATGTGATTTTGGGGATTATAATCTTGCTTTCATATGGTAACAGTCTTTCTTTTCATTTTATGCCACACCTGGTAACAACAGGAAAATACAGTCTGTCATTGAGATGAACCTCCTTGTTAGGACATTTCTGTAACAGAGCTCATATAATATTGGATGAAGGTAATACAAATCTGATAAATGAAATTAATAAAGTATTATATTTGTCTTCTACCAAACTGTTTTCTGCGCTACTTATTTCTTCCTGGTGCGATCCATTATTCAACAAAGATCACAATGTTCTCACACTGTCACAGCAACATTAGTCAAATGCTGAAAGTAGGACACTTTTTTTGGGCTGATGTGCCAGACTTCATGTCACAAAGTTTCAAGCCATATGCCACCAAAGGTAAATGAGTTCAGCCACAGAAGCAGGATAGTAAATAAGTGTGACATGTGACAGGACTGTTATCACACAGGACTATATCCTATTTGCAGGTCCAACACAGAATTAACTGCAGCGCATGGGAAGCAGATCACACTAAGTGGAGGTTCCTGGAGCTGCACTGTTACTGAGATATTGCTGGAAAATGAGGAAGAGGTTAAACAAAAGGTGTTGAAACAAGACAGATGAAGAGAGAAAGCATATGGGATCAATCTGGAAGAAGATCAGGCAGGTGACTGAGCACAAAATGCCGTGGCTCAGCAGCACTCACACCAAACGTCTACCGGATGGAGGTGTCATCAACTTCTCTGAGGTCAGACATTTCAGTCATCTGTGTTTTTCAGTAAATCAGTCTTTATATACAGTACATTTAGTGTGTATATTTTAAATACACATTTCAATTTGGATTTATTCATCTTACTCTGCCCTTAATTTATAGTATATTTGACTGCTTATGGTATCTATTTGTAAAGCTTTTTAGGTTTCATTCTAGGCAGCCAAATATCTAAAAATGTTATATATCTGGCAGATTTAGGGAAACGTTTTAATATGAACTTCCCATGTCAAATTAAGAACATCACTACAACAAAATTTAAAGTTTAATTTAAGATATGATCTAATTGATCCCAAGCAATAAAATTTAGCATTTTAGCAGCACAAAGGAAAGGACAACTGAGGTGGGTAGGATATAGTAAGAAGGAAAACAAATTGTTGTGGAGGAAGTACTCAGATCTTAAGTAAGAGTAGCAATACCATAGTGTATAAATATTATATATTAAAAGTCTGCATTTAAATTGCATATTTTACCTTAGTAAAACCATCAAAATATGCCTAAAGTAAATACCCATGCAGAATGGTCCATTTCAGAATAATGTGTTTTATATTATTGCATTTATAGCTACTGCTGGATAGTTTGTCAATTTCACCAAGGGATCAATATATCTTAACCTATAATCATAATAATGTATTAGTTGTTGTTGTATTTTCTGTTTTGTTCAATTTGCAAAGTAGCCTAGTAACTATAGTTATCAAATAAATGCAGTGGAGTAAAAAAGTATTGTATTTACCTCAGACTAGAAGTAGCATCAAATGAAAATA